AGGAATGATGAGAGCCTTGAATATATGGGCTACTCGTTCAGGAACTTGTAAAGTGATCTTTGATAACCTTTTTCCTTCTACCATAGCTTGAAGGTAATCATATCAAAGGCCCTTAAACTGCTTATGTGTGCATCGTGTATGCACTCTACCTTTTTAGACATGCAGTTGTATCCTTGCTGTACTGATGACTAGAGTCTCAATGTATCCTCATCCTCTCTCCTCCTGCATAACTCAAGTTAAAGGGCTTTTCCTTGTGTGATATAAAGTAAACACATTAAAGATGTACTGCTTTTAACATCATTGGCCTAGATGGTCTCATCTGTGGAAATCTCTGAGTTCCAAAAGAGCAGCTACAGTGGATTGGGACATCATTCATTCTAGTTTTAAAGCCTCCAGGAATGAGCAGCTCACTAGGTCCCAGCATCAGCCATTCCACTTGGGGGCAATTCTAGTTGTTAGGAAATTCTCCCTTATATTGAGCTAAAATCTGCCCCCCTCTAACTTGGGTGTACTTGGTTCCAGTTCTATCCTTTGGAGCTACACAAGCTAAGTTTTATTTTTCTCCTTCCTGATAAATTCCTTTTAGAAATATGGAAAGAGAAAATATGTGCCCCAAATCTTCTCTTGTTTAGTTTAAGTGTTCCACACTTTCTCTTAATTGATCCTTGTGTGGCATGGGCTGCAGTTTTCTCACAATCCTGGTAGTCTTCCTTTAGATATGGTTGTTTCCCTTTTCTCCTCCTCTCCTTTTTGACTCTCTTCCTTCCTCCCCCCCTGCCTCATCCCCTTCCCCTCCTTCATTCTTTTTTCCCTTTGATTCCATCCTTCTTTGTTCCTCTAGTTTACCCTTTCTGTCTCTGTCTCCATCTCTAAGAACTTTATCCTTATGTTTCATCTTCATGTTCTTCTTATCTACTGACTCTTTCCTTGATGATTCTACAAACATATACAGGTGTCCCTCTCTCCACCCTCAAAATCCTCCCTTGCCCTAGATATCTCCTTAATCTATTAGCCTACAAGCATTTCTCCTTTTCACAGAAAAACCCTCATCAAAAGTCCATTATACTTGTAGCCTCCATTTTCTCACCTCTTGATCATGTTTTAATATCTTTCAGTTTGACTTCTGACCCCACTATGCACTAAATTAATTTTTCCAAAGGTGTGAATGCTCCAGTGACCTTTCTCAGTCCTCATCTTTTTTGAATGCTTTTCAGTTTTTGACAATATTCAGAATGATTTCATCCTGGATGCTCTCTCCTTCCTTGTCTTGATTTTTATCCTACCTGTATGACTGCTTCTTCTGAGTCTCTTTGGCTTATTTTCTTATTCCTCCCATGTCTTAACTGTTGATGGACCACAAATTTCTGTCCTCAATCCTCTTCTAGTCTCCCTCTATTTTTTTAAATGATATTATCCAGTCCCATACCTTCAAATCTCATCCTTATGCAAATTACTGATAAATCTATATATCTAATATTTCCCCTTTGTTTCAGTATAGTGGTTACAATTGCCTGAAGTATATATCCAGATGGATAATGTGCCAGCACCTTATACACAACATACACAAAATTGAACTCATCAATTATACTCTAAACTCACCCTTCTTTCTAAATTTCCTATTTTTCTTGATACTCCCATTTTATCTGTCTCTAATTACCCACTTCTCATTCTAGTCAATTACTAAGTTGATCAATCCTGTTGATATTGTTCAAACCTGCCTTTCCCTTTTCACTCTCAGTGATACCACCCAAGCTCAGACCTTTATAGTAGGAGTATAGACACAAAGAATGAAATAATCATTCTCCTAAATACTAGGAGCTTAAATTCTATCTGGGGAGATAATATATGTATGTATGTATGTATGTATGTATATAGGTATTTATGTACATATGTATATAGATAGATATAGATGTGAATGTATTTATATGTATATAGAGAATAAATACAACATTGTTCATCATTCACTGTTTTTCAGTCGTATCTGACTCTTTGTGACCCCATTTGAGATTTTCTTGGCAAGGATACTGGAAAGGTTTTCCATTTCCTTCTCCAGCTTATTTTACAGATGAGAAAACTGAGACAAACAGGGTCACCCAACCAGTAAGTGTCTGAGGCCAGATTTGAACTCAGAAAGAGGAGTCTTCATGACTCTAGGCCTGGCACTCTATCCATTTAGCAACTTAGCTGCCCATGTAGTTACTTATAGTATATATAAAATAAAAGCATATAAATATAAGGTAATATTCTTAGATAACTGATTTTTATTACACTTACTTCTCTCTCTCTCTCCACATACACACACATGCACAAACATACATACATACATACATATACTGCTAAAAGGTATGACTACATTATTCCACCACTCAAAAACCTTCAATAATCCCCTATTGTATAAATACACCACCACACCATGCAGTATAACATAATACAACACAACACAATACCGTATAATACAATGCAATACAAAAAAATGGAAAATATAAACTCTTTATTTAGGCATTTAAGGTGCTATTCAGTGTGGCTTCTCTCTTCCTTTTACTGCTCTTCAGACACTCAAATATCAGATAGGCGAGAAAAGTAAGTTTCCCCTGATTTCATCCTGAACTCTCTCAGTCCTCCACGTCTTTTCAGGTTGGTCCCTAGTATTTCCTAAACATACTCTTTCTTAATCTCTGACTTGTAAAATGATTTCCCTTGATACAAGGCTCAGCCTCCACTGTAAATCCCTCCCAAGTGAAAGTGGTCTTTCCTGCCACGACTTTTTCCTAAACTAGTCTCCTTTATGTCATTACTTCCTCCTCTGCATCACACTTATGGATGTATGCATTATTTTTTCTTTATTATATTGCATCGCTAATAAAATTTCTGGGTATTAAAATCAATTTATTAATTAAGGTGTATCAATAATCAATAAATTGATAGTCAGTGGTTTCTCTTGGTAATTAAAGACAAAAGGTCTTGCATCATCTTTAATGCCAACCTATCTTCCTGATAGCACATTATTGCACCCTCACCCCAAGAAAAAGGCAATTTTAATTGGTGGACATTTAATGAGGAAGTGGACTAAGAATTCTCAGCCCCTCATTACTTCGTTATCAAGGTGAGGAGGTCAGCTGAGGAAGGAGACCTAGTAATGAGTTTTAGTAGCCTACAGGAATCTAGGCAAACAAAACCTTTTTGGATCATAATTTCTCCGACTTCTTCATGAGTCAGACTGCCCCAAGCTCTAATGAAGGGACCTAGGACACATGAATCTCTCTGTATGGCTCTTGACCAGCTAGTTTGGCTGTTTACGGAGTAGACAAAAGCCAGAGTCCCATTTGGGTGTTGCCCAGCCCAAACTAATTAAGAAGCAGATGTTTTGGGGGACTAGGAGTGATTATATTATTGTGTTTTGCTCTTCAGAATCTGATTGCTCTTTTCATGGGTCAGGCTTTTCAGAAACTGGCCTTTTCAGAAATGGGGTCTTGACAAAAATAGGAAAAAGAATGGATCACAAGTTAATTATTGGTTTTTAATATAATAGTACAATATTAATTTCCCTCAATTGGAAGCTCCTTGAGGGCAGGAAAATGGATATTTTAATCTTTGTTCTGAATCTCTAGTTTTGAGTAATGGGTCTTACATATTGTACGCACAAGATATAAATTTAATGAATTTAGTTGAATTTTTTCAGCTTGATGATGGGGAGCTACCAGATCATGAATCTAGAAAGGATTTCAGGGGCATCTAGTCCAACCGTCTCATTTTATGGATGAAGAAACTGAGACTCAGAGGTGTTAACTGAATTCTCCAAAGTCATATAGTTAATAAGCATCAGTGGTGGGATTTGAACACACATCTTTTGAGTCCTGAGGCAGTGTCCTGTACCATTCTTTCTCTTCACTGAACCATTCAAATGAAACATACTAGGTGACTTCACGTATACATTTAATTAACTAGATTTATCTAATTTGCATAATCCAAATTGAATTTAGCAGAACCAATGGGAAGTACTGATGGGTATTTTAATTTTATAGTATGTACATTTTATAGATTGGACAGAAAAATGTAAAAAGAAGAAGACAATTCATCCTGGGAGAGCCAACGTGTCATAGTGGAAAGGACATTCACTGGACTGGGAATTGGTGATAATTATGATAGTTTCATTTTATGTAGCATTTTAAAGTTTTTTATAACACTTTCCTCACAATAATCAATTAATGGTTAAAATAATATTTATACTGTATACAGACCATGGTACAGTTGATTATATGATGGATTTGGAGTATGAGGACTCAGATTCAGATTCTATGAGACTTGGACAGAACACTACATCTCTGTAGACTTTGCTTCCTCATCTCAAATGAAAGGGTTATACTAGACAGCCTCCAAGGCTCCATCCAGCTCTAAATCATTGATTGTATCATCCTATTTGTTGTTGTTGTTGTTGTTTTCTCATTTGACATATGGAGTATCAATAGTGACTTTCCCATTTGTACCTCAACTAGAAAATGTCTGAGCTAGTACTGAAACCCACACATTCTGACACTGAAGCCAGTGCCCTTTATACTGTTAACATTCAAGAGTTCTAACTTCTATTTCTGACTCTGATACTTTCTATAAGACTTTCCATAGGTCAATAATCCCCTTTGGGCCTCATTTTCTTCTTTTGTAAAATGAGGTAGTTGCAGGAGATGGTCTCTAAGGTCCTTTTTTAGCTTTAAAATTCTGTGCTGTACTCATTTTCTGTTTTAATAGTATCCATTCTACATTCCATTTCAACTTGAACACCCTGTAATTTGACATTTTCTGTTCTATAACTCATTTCAGTTTTAATCTTCTGTGTTCTAATGTTCCATGGTTGAAGTTTCTTCCAATTTGACCATTCTGTAATCCTGTGAACCAAGGCCAAGAATCAAGGCAATACACAATCTGTTCTCATCCAACTAAGCTTCATGTTATTTTAAGTCATGTCTAAATCTCTTGATGCTAAAATGGTTGCCCTTGCCTCCTAGGGCAAGGGATTTGGCGGGGATGCCAACCATCAGCAGCCGCACACTGGGCCTCCACTTCCAGCCTCGAAGAGGCCTGCACCACCATATCCCTGTAATGTTTGACTATTTCCACCTGTCTGTGATCTCCGTGACAATCCATGCCTCACTAGTGGCCCTGCAGCAACCATTGATCAGGTAAATATAGCTCAGAAACATGATGGTGTGATATTTTGTCCTGTTCCATCCACATTCCATGGGGATGGGGGAAGAAGATTAACTAGGCAACGATGGGTATGCAACATTGAAATTCTGGTCCATGAAATGGGAGCAAGAAGGGTCCAAGGCAAAGGAATCATAAGTCTATGCCATTCCCTAAGACTCACAACTACTACATTAACTGCTTTGTTAACATTTTCACCAAAGGCATTCTAAACTTAGAAGAGGGTAACTCACGAAGTGATAAATTCCCTATCACTGAAGATCTTTAATTAGACTAGATAATCACTCATTGAAAATGTTCTGTAACACTGACTACCATGGTCATCTTTGCCTAGAAGGTCAGGTAGGTGTGATTTCACACCTCCCACAGAGTTCTCCTGTGCCCTTGATGGGATTGTGGTGTTTGGGCTCTCTGCCAATGCATCATCTCCCATTGATGTCATTCCTCACTTGTAGGGGTTAGTCCCCAGCACTTTAGTTTCATTTAGCAACTAATAGCCAGATTCACGTTTACAAAGAAATATTTACTTCAGAAGATAATCATAAATATTTAAACTTACTTTCCCAACATATAGGAAGCATAATCCTTCTCCTATTTTATACCACCTCATTTTCTAGGAAAGGTAGGGGATTAGGTTCGTAGCTTAGCTCAGTTCCTACAGAGCCCAGTCTAGGTTCCAAGTTCAACCCCATCAGGCTCATGTCCCAAGCACTCTGGCTTCTCAGGGATTCCATGCAAGGCTGACTAGTCATACCAAACCCCCTGCAATCCTGGCTTCAAAGTTTTTATGACTTAACCTTCTGGGTCTCATGGGAATCACCTTTGGCACCGGAAACTATGGAGAACAACACAGAATAGAAACTGTCAATAGGCAATCACAACTTCATGATACTTATGTGAAAACTGGGTTTATTATCAGAGAAATGAACATGCATGTGGAACCCATAGAGTTCACAATCCACACAGAAGTTTGCATATTTATGACAGTGCAACAAAAGGTGGAGGAATAAACACAAATCACCTAAAGGGGTGCGGCACAGAAAGGGAAAAGGTGCAGTAAAGGTGGGAAAAGGAGGAAATCCATCCTGAAAGGGAGGAGCAAGATGATGGCAAAAGCCTCATTCTTTTTCCTTGGGAACTGCTAGACCAGGGGTGGGGAACCTGCAGCCTGGAGGCTGCATGTGGTCTTCTAGGTCCTTGGATGCTGCCTTTGACTGAGTCCGAGTTTTACAGAGCAAATCCTTTTATTATGGGGACTTGTTCTGTGAAGTTTGGATTCAGCCAAAGGGATGCACTTGAGGACTAGAGGCCACAGGTGGCCTTGAGGCCGCAGGTTCCCCATCCCTGTGCTAGACCATGAAGATATGATGGTCTGCTTATCTACAAGGGTCCCACCTGCACAAGCAGTGTCTCAGTCTAGTGAGACTGACCGGTGCCCGTTGTGACTCACAAGGACACACAGGGAGTCCAGTTTGGGATGCAAACGGCACATTATGTCAGCTGAGGAGGGGAGAGGTAGGATTCATCCTTGACACGTTCAGGGCCTCCTGCACGCTCTGGGTCCAGCGTTCCCGGAAAATATGGCAACTCAAAAAGACAAGTTCAAGAGACCCCTTAATTAACATTCCTTAACAAAACAGATACGCCCAGACCCGTTTTTCAGGACCAGGGTTAAAGAGGGAGAAAAGGGGAAGGAAGACCTTCTCTTCTAATAGGTTCAGGTCATGCTATCTATGCTTTGGGATTTTCACCCTCTGGATATAGCGGAAAGAGTGGTGGACAAGAACAACTGAAAGAGAGAAGGGGAAGCAGCTCCCCAGTTTTAAAAACCTAGGTAGCCCGTCGGAGGAGGCTACTGCCACCTGCATGGTAGGGAATGCAGAAGCCTCCATGTTGGATGATCTGGGCATGCCCAGGCAGCCCAGGTTAGAATTGTACAGGACATTATTGCTTCTAGTACTTAGTGAGGTATCATGATAATACTAATACCAAACAACATTTATATAACACTTTAAGGTATGCAAGGCACTTTTGCATACATTATCTTGTTTGATCATTATAACAACCCTGGGAAGTATGTGATTCACTCATTTTAAAGATAAGTAAATTGAGTGTGAGAGTTTATAAAATGCCAAGGGGTCACATAGCTAGCACATGTCTAAGGAAGGATTTGAACTTGTGTCTTTCCTACTGCAAGGGCAGTACTCTACCCATAGTACCACCTAGCTTCCTCTGGGGTCTCTTCCTCAGATTCTTTGGTTCTGTGTGTCATCACCAATTGATCAATAGGGAAACTAAAGCCAGATTCATCTTCTCAAAGTCATGTATTAGGTAATATTTCTTTAGCTAAAGAGGACTTCACTTGTGTGACTCTTTTGTTAGAGGGTAAGGTCCTTGAGGGTGAAGATTCTTTCATCCTTTGGATTTATATCTACAGTATCCAGCACAGGTTTGACCATAGATCTTAATAAATGCTTGTTGGTTGATAAATGCATTGATTTCAATCACTTAGTCCACACTTAAAACAATCAGAGATGAGAAGAGTCTCCCTCATGCTATATTAGCTTTGTCACTGAGTAATATTGGATGACCACTTGTTGGGGAATGAGAAGATTTGTGTTTCTGATAGGAAATGGACATCAAGATCCTGGAGGACTCTCCAGACCTCTGAGGGTCTATGTTTCTATGTTACTGTTGACTTTTGTGTTTTTGTTTTTGTTCTTGGTTTTTTTTGGTGAGGCAATTGGGGTTAAGTGACTTGCCCAGAGTCACACAGCTAATGACTGTTATGTGTCAGAGGCCGGATTTGAACTCAGGTCCTCCTGACTCCAGGGCTGGTGCTCTATCCACTGTGCTGCTTAGCTGCCTCCTACTATTGACTTTCTTCCCTGAAATCCTCAGCCTGTGTCAACAACTTGAAACCAGGGTGATAACTGGTATTAAATATTGCATTTTTTATGTCTTATCAATGGTCATAAAATAGCATCAACAAACTAATGTATCTTCAACTAAAATGAAACAACTAGGTGGTACAGTAGATAAAATACTGGATCTGACTTCAAATCCTGCCTCGGCCACTTACTAGTTGTATGATCCTGAACAAGTCACTCAGCCTGTATAATCCTCAGTTTCTTCATCTGTAAAACAGGGGTAGTAATAGCACCTACCTTACAGGGTTGTGGTGATGATCAAATGAGTTAATATATGTAAAACTTTTGAAAACCTTAAAGTCCATTATAAATGTTAGCTATTGTTATTAAAATGATTAAATTATATGGATATTTATCTCTCTGTGCCTCAGTTTCCTCATCTGTAGAAGGAGGAAGGATGTTCAATTACTTGGTCTCTAAGGTCCCGATAGAAAACCCAGGCCTGGAGTCAGGAAGGCCTAAGTTTTCACATATTTCCTCAGACATTTAATAGCTGTGTGACCCCGGGCAAGTCACTTCATTCTGTTTGCTCAGTTTCCTCATCTGTAAAATGAGCCAGAGAAGGCAATGGCAAATCACTCACGTATCTTTGAAAATCCAAAGAGAGGTCATAAAGCATCAGACATGACTGAAATGACTGAACAATAACAAAGATCCTGTTCAGGTCACACGTTACAGAAAATGTCAGGTTTATGTTCTGCTTTGTCTCTTGTTCCTTTTTATCATGCCCATTGACATATACACAAAAATCAGACAATATAACTGAGTGATACCTTCAATTTATGTCACCACTGGCAGCTTAGACTTCGTGAGTCTCAGCTCCCTCATCTGTTAAATGAGAATAACAATGTTTATA